AAAAAAAAAAAAAAAAAAAAAAAAAGAAAAGAAAAGAAAACCCAAACCAAAGCCTTTTATGACCTAACCAGGGACATAAGAGGTGTCCCCAAGGAGGGCACAGAAGTTCATTCTTCCCAAGATCCAGAGCCACTCTCAAAGACAGCCAACAGGACAGACATTCTCCAGAGAGCTGGCAACGACCCTAACCACAAATGAGGTGTGACCCACATTTCTGGCTGGCCCTTGACATGTTCTGAGGGCTCCTAACCTGATGGTTGGTCCCCTGCAGCACCCAGACCTGACAACAGGCAGGCAGAAAGCCAAGCCAAGCTTTCAGCCCACAAAAGGGGACAAACAGGAAAACAACAGCTGGGAGGGAGGGATTAACAAGCGGGTACCCAAAACCAGAAAATTTTTGAAGTTTATTTTTATTATTTATTTTTTTGAAACAGACAGATACAGAGCAAGCGGAGGAGAGACAGAGAGAGGGAGACAGAGGATCGCAAGAGGGCTCCAGGCAATCGGAGCAGAGCTGAACTGAACGTGGGGCCCGAACCGGGAGATCATGACCAGAGCCAAAACTGAGATACTTAACCGACTGAGGCCCTGCCAGGCGCCCTTCAAAACCAAATTTACAAGAGTCACGCAGAATCCAAAGAGCTAGTCCTTCCGAATGCTTTCCTCTCGCCAATCGGAACCCAGAAGGGAACAAAGAGAAATTTTTAGCATCCTCTCCCCACCAGGCACAGAGATCCAGAAGGCAAATGAGGTAAGAAATCTTACCTACTGCTGGCTTCATCGGGCCCCGGGACCTCCCAACTGCAGACCCAGAGCCAACGGAGTCCCAGCCAATGTTACACCATCCTGGTTACCAAGCAGGACAGCCTCCGGCTGAGACTAACACCAAGCAGATTAAAAGCACGTGGATTTTATTTACACACACGTGGGAGCCCTTATGAGAAAAAGGAAGACTCGAGAAATAATTAGGCCCAAGTGCTTCTTTACTAGGTTGAACACAGGGAGGCAATGATGGAAAAGCAACTAAAGTATATAGGGATGAGCCGCTCAGACGCCCTTTTCTATGAAATTATTCATTGATCTCCCATTGTCTCTCAGCCAGCAACTAGGAATCTTCCGATAGAAATGATCAAATGGTCAGACCATAAAGCCAGATTCCCAGACTCTCACACCCCCAATGCAGGTGACAATATCCATCATAAAGGCATCAAAGGCAAAGCACACATCTATAGAGAGGAGAACAAAGGCGAGAACAATAAACAGTGAAATTATCTTACCCCTTGGGAATCATCACAACTGTAGCCACCATGAAATGTACTTGCCTATTGACAAAGCCTACCTGACTCTGTCCTGTGAACAGTGTGATGTTTTCCCCACCTTTGGGCCATTTTGGAGGTTTTTCCACCAAGATGCAGTAAAATCTAGTGCCTGGAATACCAGGCTGTGGCACTTGACAGCAATAGGGAGTGCCAAAGGACAATTTTCCAAAAAAAAAAAAGAAAAGAAAAGGTAAAATCACAACTCTCCTACAGATTAAAAAAAATTGAGCACATGTTAAAAATTATTAACTCATTATTTTTTTAAGCACGGGAAATTGTACATTTTTTAATGTTTTTATTTTATCTTATTTTTGAGAGAGAGAGACAGAGTGCAAGTGGGGAAGGGGCAGAGAGAGAGAGAGGAAGACACAGAACCTGAAGCAGGCTCCAGGCTCTGAGCTGAGCTGCCGGCACAGAGCCTGACTTGGGCCTGACTCTGGGCGGGAACTCACAGACCGTGCGATCATGACCTGAGCTGAAGTCAGACACTCAACCGACTGAGCCACCCAGGCGCCCCATCTTAACTCATTATTAATGAGGAGAACCGATCAGATGTTAAAACCATTTCAGAGGGGATCCAAACAAGAAGCAAATTAGGAATAGTAAAATAAATGTGCAAATTAATGGAACAAAGATTAGGGGAAGTGTCTCTCCACCTGGCTGAATTTATTTGCATGTCTCGAAGCAAAAATTATTTTTCCCTGTAATCATGTAACTACAGAGTTTATAAAAAATCTTCCATAGAAATCAAAATCAGAAACCCCTGAAGGGTTTAAAAAACATTTTTTAAATTTAGATTTTATTTTTAAGTAATCTCCACAAAGTGGGGCTCCAACTCACAACCCGAAGTTCGAGAGCCATACGCTCCACCAACTGAGCCAGCCAGCGCCCCAATAATTTTTTTATTGTATAGGGGCATATAGCAAAATAGTTTAGTTGTTGCAGACCACAGTCTTTGTTGCGACTCCTCATTGTAGTGAGGGTAGACAATACAGAAACAGAATGAGCATGTCTCTGTTCCAATAGAATTTTATTTACGGATCCAGAAATTTGATTTTCGTGTAATTTTCATGCTACGGAATCTTATTTTGATTTGTTTCCCCAACCATTTGTAAACTGAGAAAAGGAGGTGAAAAGGAACTGAAAAGGAACAAAGGCTTTAATCCGGGGTCCCAGAATCACACTTCAGGAAGCACAGATTCCTGAGTAACCAGAAAAGTGTCCCTCTCATGTGGGGAAGCAAACTTAAAAATTTTATGAGCAACTGCTTGTAAAACGATTGCTGTCCAGCCCAGCTCAAGAGTTCATTAGTTGCAAAGTAAAATGGAGCTTCAAAACGGATTCTCTCGGGTCCAGAAATTTTATTTCAACTATTTCACACACTTAAAAACAGCAATAGGATTTGGCCCACAGGCCACAGTTTGCGACACCCTGGCTCCTTCTAAGCCACAGCTTTCCACTGAAACTCCTATTTTCCCCTACAGGAACACGGGAGATAAAATAGGGATATAATTGTTTGTATAACTGCTGGGAAATAAATTAATGCATGTAATGTGCCCAGAACGGTGCCTAACGTTTTAATTGTTATTATTATGGAACTGAGGTCAGATACCCAGCTAAAGTCAGGACCAAGGTCAATGTCCGGATCAGCCTCCAACTGGGCCGCGCGCGTATCAGAACTGTATCTCTCCCCCAGTTCCGTGAGTCTCTGCGGGATTAGACTTCTGCCGCGGGAGCGGTCGTGGTCACGGGTCGCATTCCTTTTCAGGAATTCCGGGAGAATCTGAGAACCTGGAGGGCAACTAAAAAGGAGAACAAAATTGACCATCTCAACACAGGAGGCTGGACAACCGGCAGTGATTCGCCGGTATAACGCTTGTCTGTGATTGGTCAGTGCAGTAGTGGGTTGGTCGGTAAGAGTGTGGCGACGGCTGTCCATTGGCCGGCGCAGAAAGGGGCGGGGAAACGAGGGACAGTCAGCCTTTGATATGCGTGTTGCAGTGAGACGCCTATTTGCGATTGGTCCGTTGGGTGCGGAAGGCAACGACTGGCTTCATTCAGCGATCGGCCCGGGGATGGGATGCCGGTCTTTTATTGGCTAATACCTCTCGAGGCCCGCAAAATCGAGCGACCTGCGGTCAGTGATTGACTGGCGAGGACTGGGGCGGGCGTGCAGAAAGCGAAGACAGAGTGCGATTGGCCAGCACCGGGAGGGCGGCGATCCCGGCGCGGGTTCCAGAGTAGCGGCGGGCTATGGCTTCCGGCGGCAGGCACTGGCTGCGCGGTCTGTGGGCCGTGGGGCAGCCCCTGTTCCAAGGTCGTGCGCTGCTCGTCACCAACACGCTGGGCTGCGGTGCTCTCATGGCGGCCGGGGACGGCGTGCGCCAATCCTGGGAGGTCCGCGCCCGGCCTGGCCAGAAATTCGACCCGCGGCGCTCAGGTGAGGAGGCCGGCGCTATACTGGCCCCTGGCCCCCTAGGATCTTTGGCCCCAACCTCAGATTTGGAGATCCCCGACCCGTGGCCCTAATTCCCGGCAGGACCCTTGACCTTGGCGTGCACCCGAGACCCTCAAAACCCACCCTCGGGTCTCCACCTCGGGGTCTCTGTCCCGTCCCCACTCCAGGTCTCCCATCTCCTCCTACTTCCTGGTCCCTGCCTCCTCCCATATCCAGTTTCTGTCCGCTTCCACCCGCCAGGCCTCGTCCCCACTCATCCCCTTGTCAGCTTCCCTCCCTTCTGCACAGAGACCAAACCGCACCCGGGGTAGTCGAGATCTCAGCCTCCGGACCCAGTCAGCCTGGGATTGTGCCCCGGCCCCACGCTTCCCAACCCGCTGTGCCTGTTTCCTCGTCCGGAGAGCAGGGCAGCGGTAGAACCTGCTCAGAGGGTGGTGAAGGGGATGAGAGAAAACGGGAGAGGAGCCACTGGGACGGTGCCTGGCAGTGGGGCTTGTAATGGAAGATCGTACGGCTGGGCTCAGGGAGAACTTCGGGTTAATCAGGGAGGGAGGTTAACCAGGGAGGGAATGGATGGGGGGATTTGCTTGCCTGACGTGCCCTCCCCCCCCCCCCCCCCCCCCCCCCGACTCTTGGACTGCTCTCAGCTAGCATGTTTGCAGTGGGCTGCAGTATGGGCCCCTTCCTGCACTACTGGTACCTCTGGCTGGACCACCTGCTCCCAGCATCCGGCCTCCGTGGCCTCCCAAACGTCCTCAGGAAGGTCCTCATCGACCAGCTGGTGGCCTCTCCCATGCTAGGCGTCTGGTACTTCTTAGGTAAGGAGCCTTGTGAGCTTGGGCTTTGCCCCTCCATACGTCAGGAGGGGCATAGCCAGCTTTGTGTTAAGAAGAATGCTGAGGTGCCTTTCTGACGTGCTCTTCTGTGAGTGGCTCGGGCCTGGGTGCTGTGTCCCAGTGGTAACAGGACAGACCCGTCGGGGGCAGGTATGAACGGCAGAATCAGACAATGATCCTTAGTGTAGGAGGGATGAGGACAGGATCAGGTGGGCCCAAGGCAATGGTTGGGAGGGCTGCCCAAAGGAGAGGACACTCAGCTGAGACCTGAAGGAGCCAGCAGGCATGAAGAACTGCCCGTGCAAAGGCCCTGGGGCTGAAGGAAGAGTTGCTGGGGCTGGGGTTGATGTTGATGGGGTGCAGGGGGTTGATGTTGATGGGGTGCAGTCATCCAGCCCTTGACTCTAGGATGAGTTTCCCCCATCCTCCCCACCCCTTCCCCCCAGGCTGTTTCCTCTGTGGAAGGCAGGAAATAAAACAGCCTCAGGAAGGGTGCATTTTCATCCTTTGGGGTGCGTGTTTATTTATAACCTCTCCCTCACTGGAACCGACTCGTTCTCCGCCCCAGTCACTCTGCTGTGTGTGGCCCTTCCCACCACAAGGCTTTTAAAACATGGTCTGTCTGCCGGGGACACTGGCCTTCAGGGCTCCTGCCCCATCTACTCTATCACCGGTACTCCCCAGCCTCTGACACTCCCATTTTTTGGTTTCCTTCCCAGGCCTTGGCTGCCTGGAGGGCCAAACCCTGGACGAGAGCTGCCAGGAGCTGCGGGACAAGTTCTGGGAATTCTACAAGGTGGGCAACGCCCACCCCCTCGGGCCCCGCCCTTCCCTCGCGGCCACGCCCTCAAGGCCCTGCCCCTGACCACACTCCCTCCCTCCCCTTAGGCCGACTGGTGCGTTTGGCCAGCCGCGCAGCTGGTGAACTTTCTCTTCGTGCCCAGCCAGTTCCGAGTCACCTACATCAATGGCCTGACGCTGGGCTGGGACACGTACCTCTCCTACCTGAAGTACCGGGTGAGCACGGTGGGTGCACCAGGCACCCAGGGGACTCCTCAGGGGCCACACGTGTGAACCCCCAATGGCAATGCATCTGCTCTCCACGGTGAGGTCCTCCTGTGCCTGTGACAGTCCACAAACCACAGTAGGTGGGTGGGGAGCTGATCACCAGCAGGGTAAAGACCGAGCCCCTCTCTGCTGTTTGATGTGACCTTGGCCAGGTCCCTGCTGAGTGTTTCCCGCAAGATTGAGCACAGCCACAAGACTGGAGGATGAGGGCTCACTTGGCGACGAGGAGTCCAGAGGGGTGTGTGACCAGACCTTCTTGCACGGACGGACCCTGGGCCCAAGGTGGGGACACAGCCCATGCCCTTAGAGCAGGGCCGAGCCTGGAGTTGACCTCCAGAATCTGGGGCCTTAGGCGGGGCTGAGTGGCCTCCAGTATCCTGCTCGGGTCACGGGCTGTGGAAATTCTATTAAATTATCTTGTCATTGAAATTGCTGTGGATGACCAAGGCCACCGTTGGCAGGCCGGCACTCATAGGGACATGGCGTCATCCATTCACTTTATTGGGTGTGTGTAGTGTGGTCATGACATCTCCTGGGGATCCGAGGGGCACGTTTGACACTCATGACGTCCGAGCAGGTCTGGTGTTTTGGGGG